ATTATTATTCATTCGTATCATTACATTGTTAAGATCATGCAAGGTTTTTAAAATCAGTATCTTATCGATCGAATAAGATGAAAACAGTTACTTAAAAAGATGCCAAAAGTCAGCATTGAATTGCTTAATTATAAGCGACTTTAGATGATGACAGTGAAAGTGGCGATAAAAAAGTTGGAGAAGAGTGGAAAGAGGATGACTTGTCGGGATTGAGCGCAGTTGAATTAATGAGGAAACGAAACGAAATGATTGAAACGGCGAAACAAGAAATTAGTGACATTGCATTGAATCTACTAGCACAACCACAACAACAGGTCTTTTCAATCTCGACAAATTTTTATTCATATGCATGAACTGTTATTGTGAATCCACATGCAACACAAATATTCATTTCGTTAGATTCTAATATGTAATTAAAGAAATTTCAATGTGTTGAGTTCGATTGTATGAAAAATCAAAAATTCATTCGTTCAGATCGATAGACTCCGCGTGTTGATAGGATTGTGTAAGGGTGAGAGGATCCATTCGTTGATACGCGAGACTGTTCAAAAATTAGCGATTGCGTCAACAGTCGAAGTTTTCGTCGATATTATTCCCGGTTATGCGATCAGGTTTGCATTCAGCTGTGCAGTTCTCATTTCAAATCCCATTCAAAACAAACGATCATGGCTCTATATATTTGTTACAGTGCATTCCATTAATGGAATCATATTCAAGCAGTAATCGTTTCTATCATTAATCAGTTAATATAATTGCTTTGAGCTACGAATATCTTTTCAGACCATTGAGTGAGGAAGAAAAATCACAAAAGATGAAAAAAGAAACAAAAAAATTACACGATTATGAGAATACGCTGTTGAATTATTACAATAAGTATTTGCAAGTGATCGAGAAAAATGTAACAAGTGAGTGAATATGTTGCTTGTTTGATTCGTTCGACTATTATTCATGTGTTCTTTTTTTGATTATTCAATTCGTGTGTTCGTCCGTCTGTGTTCGTGTAATTCGAATGCTTTTTGAATTTAATGATTAGGTCCAAGACATCATAACCTGATTAATGTTATTGACATTGCTATATGATTAGATTTCGACTAGAATATTCACTCACGATATATTAATTACTGCTCCAGTGCTTTACCAATTGAACGGTCGTGCAGACCTTAAGTCTCGATCGAATGGCGTTTTCTTGGCTTTCAGTGCATTATTGGAATGAAATCGGTTAATCATTTCAGAAGCGTTACCGAAGAAAGGCAGTGTATTGAACGAAGCAACGTTCACGTATAAATTAGCAATAGTCTCGTTACGTTCTCTGTGTAAACTTTTAGTGGACGTTCCGCATTTCAATTTCTCAACCAATATCATCAGTTTGCTTGTCAGATTGACCACGTCGAAACATGAAACGGTATTTGTATTTTACTTACAGAATTTGTTTAAATACTTCATTTTACATCAGCGTTATTATTATTATTATTATCATTTTTGTTATCGTGATGATTACTTTTATTATTGAAAGTATTATTTTGGTGAATTTTAGGTAATAGATGAATGTTGTAATGCACTATCGAAACTATTCAAATCGGATTTGTCATTGAAATATTGTGCGTTCGCTGCGCGTGCAATTTCAGCGATAGTTAATGAGAAGAAGTCGACTACCGATCACGTATCAAGCAAGCTTTTATTGACCTTACTTTGTATGAATATAAAGGTGAGTTGTTGTTATTTTTGATTTCATTTTATGAATGTGTCATCGTTATTTTGAACAACAACTTTTTGGAGTGTTTAGTTTTTGTTTTGTTTGAAAATTAAATCGTTATTTTCACGTTTGATTGTGATCGTTTATGAAAATCAACACAGGAAATCGACATGCAAAAGGACGATCATGGTAAAGAAAAGGAAAAACTTTTGGGTAAGAGGTTCAAGCTGGCCAAAGAAAGGCAGTCAAAGACCAAAAATAAGGTGAGTGATATGCGTTGATATCGATTTTAAATCACATGGAACGGGTTGTTAACAAATGAATTTCACACAATTATGATAACAGAATGAGCTTCATGTAAGATTTGACGAGGTTGGACGATAGGTCATCAAGAAATAAATTGATGATATAAAAATAAGGTGAATTTCATGTCGGTGAATATTTTCAGTACTCCAAACAATTAAAGAAATTGGAATCCGATCTGAAAGAAATTGAAGCTGCAGAGTCTTTGACGACGAAAGTCAAATATGTATGTCTTTTCTTCAGTGATTTTTTCATTTATCATTATTTATTGAAGCGTTTATAGCGTAACTGTGACGAGATTTATATGGTTGAGGTATATTCTGCGAATCATTAGCTGTGATAATTATGAGTTCTATTCGTAATTGTGTTTGTTTGAAGGCAACTGAAGCGATGAAATATATATTTCTAACATATTTTCGTGTAATCAAGCATATGCCGAATAGTAATCTGCTTGAACCGGTGCTAGAAGGCTTATCCAAGTTCGCACATCTTCTGAACGTTGAATTCTTTGATGATATTGTTAGTGCCCTGCAAACACTCGTCGATCAACAGGTTACTTTCAATTTCTTTCGTTTTTATTCTTATTGCTATTGTCATTCATGTTTTTTCGAGTAATTATTTTGTTTCAGCACATGAAAGTATTGGATTCGTTGCATTGTATTCACGCCGTGTTTGTAATATTATCTGGTGAAGGATCGGCGATCAATGTAGATCCATATCGCTTTTATAAATCAATTTATCGCATCATGAACGACATTCCTTTCGAGAAACGATCAGGTTCGTTCATTGTGTTTGATTCAAATTATTACATTGATTTGATCCGGATGATCTATACAACCGACCTGTAATCGAGTTGATTCGTATTGCAGACGTTCGTGATCGTGAAATGATTCTGTTGTTGAAATCGTTGCATCTGATGATAAATCATCGTCGTAAACAAGTGATTCTGTGTCGAGTTGCTGCGTTCGTTAAACGACTTCTACATATATCTTTCTTATTACCGACCAACTACACTATTGCGATTCTTTGTGCCATTCGAACCTTCTTCATTGTTCGTTTACTGTTTATTGGTTTTGAAGTTTTGATTTTGAATTTGATTTTGAGGGATTTGATTTCGAATTCATCGTTTTGTCGTATTCTGTTGTACTTATTATTGATATGGCTGGCGATGTTTCATTCTCCGTATTTATTGTTGTTCATTGGGAAATGATTTCGAATTGACATTCACTCACTCATATATGGGGTCACTTTTTTTTAAGACTATTGGGAGCCGGGAGCATTCAGTTGGGGAGAGGGTTCGGTTGGTTTATGAGATGATAATTAGATTGATTGACTTTAGTCACATCCTCGATTGAACTCGATGCTTGAATGTGACGATGATGATAGAAGTGTCGTTAATAAATCGTCGGCACTTGATGTGTTTATACCAGAAGTGAATGATCCAGATTGTTGCAATGCACTGTCCACGTCGATCATTCTCGAGACTGATCTTTTATCAAAGGTTCTTTTGCACGTTTTTATGTTCAATCGTTCAATCGTTCATTCATTCACTCATTTATTCATCCATCTCTTATCAGTGTTTATTTTTGTTGCATTATTGTGATATCCGTCACAAAGCGATTTTGTATTTCGATAATTTTAATTATGCAATATAATTCAGCATCCGAATGCGATAATATCACAATTAGCGAAGAACATTCGCGCAGCATGTCCCTCATCGGGCGCTAACAGAGTATCAGCCGACTTAAGCAATTGGTTTGTTTCGTTTCAATCGTTAATTATCTCGTTAATTTTTCATTTTCTTTTCTCATGTTGTTATTTTGTTTCAGTATTGCACTGATGATATATATGAATGTCGATACATCACAATTTAAATTTTTTGTTTCTTTTTTAATGGAGATCTAAATGTTGAATGTAATGAGTTTGAAACGGAATGCATATTCTTCCTTATTGAATATTATTAGT